TAACCTTGTGGGAAGAACTGAAGCCTACTTGAATGAAGTGGCACTTAAGAGCCTAGCTGGAGCTGTTTCTGTGTTGCATATGTCTGAAAGCCTCCTCCCAATTGCAGAGGAGGTTAAATTGGTGAGCCTGTGCATAGATGCGATCTCTCTTTTAGCTTGCAAAGAGAGCCACTTCTGCATGTCTAGCAGGTCTGATAGTGTCAATGGTAGTGCCAATTCTTCGACAATCGCTTGCTCAAAACCTATAGTCGATTGGTGGGCTGAAGATTTAACTGTTCTTCGGATCGACATCTTCCAACGGGTTCTGATTGCAATGATAGCAAGAGGTTTTAAACAATATGCACTTGGTCCAGTGCTTATGCTTTATGCACAAAAAGCTCTTAGAGGTTTGGTGAGACCCCGTACCGGCATAATTGATTTGTTTACCGGTTAATATGCTTGATGTCTAAAAGTGCAGACTCCTTTTTCGTGCAGGAAGTATTCGGAAAGGGGAGGAAGAAAATCGAGCCGCGACAAGAATACGAGAAAAGGGTTGTGTTGGAAACCATAGTGAGCCTTCTGCCTAGGGAGAAAAACGCAATGTCCGTAAGCTTTCTATCCATGTTGCTTCGTGCAGCGATATATCTAGAAACAACCGTTGCTTGTCGACTTGATTTGGAAAAAAGGATGGCCTTGCAATTAGGACAGGCTGTTTTAGATGATCTCTTGATACCTGCATATTCTTTTACCGGAGACACATTGTTTGATGTCGACACCATTCAGCGTATCTTGACGAACTACATCGAATATGATACCGAGGGCAGCCATTTTGGCTACAAAGAAGAAGATGAGTACATTTCTCCCCCACCAAGTGACTTAAAAAGGGTGGGAAAGCTAATGGAGAGCTACCTAGCTGAAATAGCATCCGACTGTAATCTATCCGTCTCGAAATTCATCGGTCTCGCCGAACTCGTTCCGGAACAATCGAGAGTAACAGAGGATGGGGTGTACAGAGCCATAGATATCTACCTCAAGGTACATATTTTTTGTGATATTTTTTATAACAAGGTATATATAATCCTTTATAAATGCAGTCATTTTAATCATAGGCTCATCCCACTATAAGTGAGTTGGAGAGGAAGAAAGTTTGCAGCTTAATGGATTGCCAGAAACTCTCACGGGAGGCCTGCGCTCATGCAGCTCAGAACGACCGTCTTCCGGTCCAGACGGTGGTTCAAGTGCTTTACTACGAGCAGCAACGCCTTCGAGATGTTATGAACGGAAGCGTATCCAGCGGAGATTCCCCTGCTGTCATCTCTTCCAGGGTAAATTTATACCCTACTGATATCCACCCAGTTTCAGGTGAAGTTTCCAGCTTGAAAAGAGAGAATGAGGACCTGAAACTAGAACTGGTGAAAATGAAAATGAGATTGAAAGAGATAGAAATATCAACATCAGCAAAATCGGGAGTAAGCAGTCCTATGGGAAGCATTACGCCATCATCTGATAAGCCTCCTTTGCCTCGAAAATCATTCATGAATTCGGTTTCAAAGAAACTCGGACGGCTTTATCCTTTTGTCGGAGTTTCAGGTTCCGGTGGCAAAGCTCGAACAAGACCCGCCAAAGATAGGAGGCACTCCATATCTTGACACTACCATTTACCATTTTCTCAAGTGTTCAACGTCTGTGTTACTTATAAGGCTTGAGACAACGTCTAGCTCTCTTTCTTCTTCTTCTGCATGGTATTGTTGTAAATATTATCGTCTTTATGGAGGTTCTTGCCACTTGAAAGGCTACTTCTCTGAAACTCTGATCAAGACATAGCATAGCCCTGATTTTGGTGGATGAACGCATACACAAAAGCTGAATTCCATGTCTACTTAAACTATATTAAATTGTTTACAATTTGAATCATCCCGTGCTCTATTGATATCATTTTATTTTATAAAAATATTTGAAAATAAAGAATAACCTATAAAAACTACATGTAACCTAATCATATATGAACCTCAATTTTGTGAAAGGGTATACATAAAACTTCTATTTAATTCAATTTTAAGAAATTAAGAATTGTTATCAACATGTAATCGTTTTACATAAATATTATATGCATAAATAATTATATCTATCTAATATAAAAATAAATTAATATATTTATTTTTTAAATAATTATAATTAATTAAAATTAAAGTTTTATTAAATCAAAATTAAAATTTCAGCGCATAATTATGAAAAATCAAATTTTATCTATAATTTTACAAATTTAATCAAATTAATTATCATATCTTCATCATCACTTGTATAAATACGTTTGAAATGTAAAAACATCTTATTTTCGGCCAAAATTTCACATTTAAAGAGTAATTATTGACTTAAAGCAAGAAGCAAAAAATACAATACTTTTTACGTTTGAGAAACTCGTTAGAAAAATTCGTTTGGAGAAGCATTCTCAAATAAAAGCCACTCAATATATTTAAATATTAAATATTTAAATGCATTCAAATTTACTTATTTCTTCTCACGATAACCATATAAACTAAGTTAAGATCCAAGAGAACCTGTTAGTAACACATTTTTAAAGCAATTACACAAATTAACTGAAATGAATTCGTAATTTTACGATGTTTAACATACATGCGACAGATTTTTCAATCTTGTCTCTCAATCCCCCGAATTTATTGATTGGTTCTTCTACGTGTTGGATACTGGGTCACCTTTTTATGGGGATAGTCGAAATCCAAGTCGTTGGGCAACGAGGGGAGCAGTTTGAGTTGAGGAGACTAAGGCGGCCATTGACAAAGCCAAATAAAAGCACCCATACTTCATTGAAGCTCCCCCACCATTTTGTCTATTATTTTAAATGAGTTAAAGTCACTCTTTCTTTGCTGGTAAAAGAAGATTCCTCACAAACCACTTTGAAACTTCTCTCTCTCTATATATATAAAACACTTTGCATCTTCTCTTTGCTAGCTTTTATCATTTATGCCCTTTGTTTCTCAGTTTTCTTATCAAAATGGGTCGGTTCATCAACCTTGCGGTTCTCCTGTCACTTTCTCTTACTTTCTGTTTGTTTCCAGACACAATCTCAGGTCAACCAAGACCAAATTACTACGCCAGTTATTGCTCCAATGTTGAATCCATTGATAGAAAAGAAGTGACCAAGAAATTCAAGAAAACTTTCGTCACAGTTCCTGCAACTCTCCGTCTCTTCTTCCATTATTGCTTTGTCCAGGGTTTTTTTCAACCCTTTTCTCCATTTTGCTTAAAATTTCAACCTATGATCAAAGTTGCATTGCATTGTATTGTTTCTCACAGGGATGTGATGCTTCGGTTATGATTGCATCATCCGGTGGCAACAAAGCCGAAAAGGATCACCCTGATAACCTGTCATTAGCCGGAGACGGATTCAACACCGTGATCAAAGCTAAAGCGGCTGTCGATGCGGTTCCGGGTTGCAGAAACAAGGTCTCTTGTGCTGATATCATGGCAATGGCTACTCGTGATGCTATTGCTCTGGTATTGTTCCTATACATCACCGTGATTGTTGGCATTGTTTGCAGATTACGTAAATGAATATGATGTGTTTTGTATACTTTCAGTCTGGTGGTCCTTCTTATGCTGTTGAATTGGGAAGACTAGATGGGTTAAATTCAACAGCTGCTAGTGTTAATGGAAAGCTTCCTCAGTCATTTTTCAACTTGAATCAGCTTAACTCGCTGTTTGCAGGGAATGGACTCAGCCAAGCAGACATGATTGCTCTTTCAGGCTTCACCAGACTGGAATGTCTAAATTTCGAACATAACGTTAGTCCGAGAAATAAAACAGTAAAATGAACATTTTGTTGTTGTTTTTGTTTTTGACAGCGGCACACACGGTTGGATTCTCTCATTGCAGCAAGTTTTCAAACAGAATATACGGTTTTGACCGTCAAAATACAGTGGACCCGGCGATGAACCGGACCAATGCTACGCAGCTTCAACAAATGTGTCCCCAAAATGTGGATCCAACGATACCCATCAACATGGACCCCGATACACCCAGGATATTTGACAATGTCTACTTCAAGAACTTGCAGAAAGGGCAAGGTCTGTTCACCTCAGACCAGATTTTGTTCACGGACCTCAGGTCTAGACCGACCGTGAACGCCTGGGCCACCGTCTCACAGGCTTTGAACCAAGCTTTTGTTACTGCTATAACTAAGCTGGGTCGGGTTGGTGTCAAGACCGGAACATTCGTACAAATTGTGCTGCCTTTAAGCTTTAACTGAGAAAATGGATGTTATGGTTGAGAATAAACCGAGAGAGTCAGATACATAAGAGTACAATACATATGGTCCAACCTGACTATAAAATTCTTTGCTGGGGTCTACAATCCATTTTTCTACCATGTTTGAGATATATATTAATCGGACTCTTCGTTTTTTTCTTGAAAGCATTTGTGTTTGACATATACGGACAGCGGACAGCATAGGTGTCGATGTCTACACACTGTTAACGCAGAATAGTTCAAACACATTGAGATCGGTCTGTATTGTCGCAAAGCAAAGAGGGTGATGTTCAAGACATGTCTTAAAAGTAGCATTTATGATCCAAATAAGTGCATACCTAACATTACAAAAGGAAAAAGTAACAAAACTCATCAAATCAATCAAACATCAGTTGCACTATGATCTTCCAGCTCACTGCAATAATTAGTTCCATGTTTCTCCATATCTGATCCAATTCATATGGATTAACCTGCAACTCACTCCTTCTGCAAGAGACTAACTACCGGGAAGTATCGGTATAATACTCTATCAATCATCACTGTATTTTAGTAGAATCTCATCCAAATCAAGAACCAGCCAAGTATTCGACATACAAACATAGAAGCACTAATATCCGAGCAAAGTATTCATCGAACATAAGATATCGTTACCTAATCAATCTCGATGAAAGGATGTCAAAAGAAAAACTATATTTGCAGAAAACAAGAAGTAGCCGTCACAGGACAAATTCAACAGCAGCAAGCCAGAAAAATCAAAGATACGCATTATTATTATGAAAACAAGTGTTCCTTAAAACGAAGCTATAGATATCGGGTAGAGATAGTTGCTAGCCCAAGTATAAATATAGTTGGATTTCACCTAGTTGAGATATCACACCTCCGGATAAATCAGAGCCATGACATATTTACAATACAACCAGCTTTATCCGAAACTCTAGTAACCTTTTTACTTATTTACTTCATCTATTCTATAAAAATGGGATGCTCGATACCGATGTTAGTGTGAACGTCAAAATTGAACTAACTCAAAATTGCCATGCCTGGAATCTGGTTGAACTTGAATCATGAACCCAATTAACTTTGGTTCTCATTCTTCTGCAGACACACCTTCTCGAGTTGTGTTGACCAGTCTACTCCAAGAATCAAGGGATTCATCTCCATCGCAACTTGAAAGTCTAACATCGATGCCGAAATGGGTCCACTTCGATTTGGTACATATCTCACAGGCTGCATCCCATTAAAATAGGCCATGGACTGATTCTGGCCTCGGTTAATAACTTTCTGTCTGGACCTTGTACCAGCCAGTTTCAAACAAGGTTTTATCAATGTCTTCATGTAAACATCGATGCTATTGTTTAACAAATCGACACAATCTACTGAGATATTCAATCCCTCCGTCTCCAACTTCTTTTCCAACCTCTTCCTCAAAGAACCAGTATCAGGTAGTTCACCCCGGCAATAACAAGTCTCGGAAGCAGATGCCAATCCATTCCATAGTACTTTTTGCATTCCTTTAGCATTCAAATTGATGCCAAGTGGAGCTCTCACGGGACTCCTACTGTAAATGCTTGGACTTCCTGTAGCTTGATCAACTTCTTCTCCATCCTCAACAGAGCCAAGCGGTCTGCTACCCAAAGTAAACAACTCTGTAGCACTCTGCTGTTCTTGACCTTTAGGAACTGCATCTTCACAGGCAGTATTATGGCTCTTCCCATGAGGCCCTAGAGGACTTGGGCGGTCCCTCAACTTGCGATCTCGAAGATTCGGAGTCCTACTCTTACGAGGAGATTGAGGAAAATCTTTGCACAGTGACTGAAGAATACTTCTTTGATTCCCATTTGACACTTTAACACTCAAAGACCCTTCGGATTTGTTCGCTATCGGTGGAGGAGTCTTTGAAAGCGAAGCATTCCTAATAATTGATCTGAGGAGATCATTATGAAGACGAGCATTTTCTCTCCCTATTGTACTGATACACAGCTTATCGAACTCGGATTTGCAAATCTTAAGACTCAAAAATATAGTAAGCAGATGGAAGTACATCTCCGCTTTTATACGCCCAATCTTCCTTACAACCTGGGATTTCATCTCTAAAGTGTCTACTCTACAAAAATTCCGACCGGCCGGCATTTCAGTTTCTGAGTTCATCACCATCATCCGAGATCTAAAATTTCAGTCAAAAATGGAAAACCATCAATATACATGAAACATCAACTTAAATCTCAATAAATAAATAATCATCAAAAACCCTAATGTCATGTCATCAATTAACATTGCAAGGCAAATTGGGATCAAAAACAGTTTTTACTGAAATAATCCAATTCAAGCAAAATTAACAAAACCCAGATAGGAAAAAGAATACACCAAACAGTAAAATTAACTTCATTTAACCAATCATTCAATCAAAAACAAAAAACAAACAGAAATCCAGAGCTAAAAATCTACAAAATTAAAGCCTGCCAATCTCAAATCAAAGCAAACGCTAAAAGAAGCATGAACTAATTCCATACACTAAAATATCCCGCTTTATTCATGAAACCCCAGAACAAAAACAACTAACAGACAGAAGGAAAAACCCACCTCAAATAACGAACTACGAAATTGAATTCAATTAATCACTGAATGAGGGAAAGTAGAAAGAAAAGTGATTAGGGCATGAAGCAAGCAAGCAAGCGAAGGGTTGGGTCTTTTTTTTTTTGGAAGCTTCTTTTGGAGTCTTCAAGGTCAATGTAGCACGTGCGGTATTTAAAACGAGTTTAAAGTGTGAACTAGTGCTGCTTAGCTTTGTTTTTCGTTTAGCGTTGGGCTTGTCCGATCATGTAGGTTTGCCGTCAGTCAGTTATTTTTGTCCAAATATAATTATCGAAAATCAAACATTAATCGATCTTTAATGAAAAGAGTAGATAATCAACCCATCATTATATGATTAGGAAAGTAATTTACTCCATTTAGTTCCGTCTGTTATTTTAGTTACTTAGTTCAATCCAACTAATTTAACTAAAAATCATATCAATATGGATCAATCTCATCTATTAAGACCGTTTTCCCTCTATTTCTTTTAAGGATTAACTAAAGATGAATTCATTACACGGTTGCTTAAACCGCTAATATTTCATTACAAAGCATGAAATAAAATTAAAAATAACGAGTTTATAACCTATGAATAATCATATAATAATTCTGTAATTTTTAATAGTTAAAGACTTAATAAAACAACGCTCTATAATTAAAGGATTATTTTACAATTTTTAATAATCATGAGATTTAATAAAATAATATCTTATAGTTCAAGAATTCATTTGCATACTCTTAAAATATAATAATAATGATAATTTAAAATGTATTACATTTCTTTGAATTCTATAAATCAAACCTTAAACATGATTAAAAAATGAAATTAGAGTTTCAACGGATATGAATTAAAATTATTAAAATATTTAAAAAAAAATAAATTGTGACTATCTATATATTTTTAAAATATTTTTTAGAAATATTGAAAATTATTAAAATAGAACTTAATTTATAATTGAGGGGTAAATGAGATTATTTGATTAATTTAATATATCACTTTATTCCTTTAATAACAGTTAAAATTGTTGTATCTATTTCATAAAAAAGTAAAGTTTAAAAAAAAATCTACAACGATAAACGAATGAGCACCACTAACGATGAGTATCATTAATTTAATTTATAAATATTTAAAATTCTAAACGACTCAACATATAATTATAAATTAATTAAAATTTTAAAGGAATAAAATATTAATTACATTATTTTTCATAATCTTTTTGGGTAAACTATATCAGTGACCACCTAACTATAACCACTTTTCATTTTGACCACCATGTTTGAATTTTTGTCAATCAAATCACCCAAATAAAATGAGCAACCAAATAAAATAAAAACATTAAGTTTAGAGGTTACCCATTCCTTTTTCATGTGTGGCTAGAGCATCTTGAATATCATCATCTTCATCACCATTGCTCCCACACACCTACAAGAGACATTTAAGTAGATTTTGGTATCCAAATTGCTTTGGATCCTTAAACATTAGTTTCAATGCCTCTTGTTCCTTTTGGAACCCATACTTGTCTAATTTTAAATCATTTTCCTTTCTTTAAAGGACAAGTATGTTCCTTATGACCATGATAATGACAATGTGAACATATTGTCATTATTGAACTAGATTAATTATTTAAAATGATATCTTTTTCTTTTGTTAAACATTCAAGTTTAACTTTCAAATCGAAATTTTCTTTTTCAATACTTTCAAATTTCATTTTTGAAAGCTCTAAATCCTTCTTCAAGATTTCATTTTGATTTTCAAAATCCATTTTTGTTTCTAGAAGAAGTTTGTTTAATTTGAAAATTTCTTTTTCAAAGTTTTCAGATTTTATTTTTGAAAGCTCTAACTCATTTCTCAACATTTCATTTTGATTTTCCAAGTCTATTTTAGCTTTCAAAAGAAGATCATTTTTAGAAATAAATTTATAAATCAATTTATTGTATTTGGAGTTCATGGTCTCAAACTCCGAAAATAATTCATCATAAGCATCTTGTAACTCAATAAAAGATTTTGAATTTAATCTATTTGAGTTAGAAGATACCTTTGGCTCTGTGAGAGCTAATAGAGACATCACCTTTATTGGTTCTTTTTCTTCCTTGTTTCTATAGATATCCTCAAGCTTATCCCACATCTCATTGGCATTTGAACAGGAAGAAACTCCTTTATATACATTAGGATCAATTGCACAACACAACATGTGCATAGCCTTTGTATTTTGTTGAGCTTTCTTCCGTTCTTGATCACTCCACTTCTTTGCCTTCTTTGTAGGAGAAGAATATCCTTTCTCAATCATCATCCAAGCTTTCATATCAAATGCTTGGATAAATATCATCATAAGCTTCTTCCAACGACGATAATTTGTTCCATTGAAGTGTGGAAGCACGTCAATTGGTCTGGATTCTTCAATGGAGAATTGTTGAGTTAATCGATCGACGGAATCGGCCAAGAGGGGGTGAATTGGCAATTAAAAATTTCGTGGAAGCTTTTGCAGAAAAATTGAAAGTAATTGCACAACGATTTACAGTGGTTCGACTTTCTCAAACAAAGTCTACGTCCACTACCTTAGCTATCCACACTAAGGATTTTCCAACAAATTCACTAATTTGTTCTTTCTTTTGAGGCCAAAGAGATAACCTTACAAAATCCCTCAAGAGTATACCCCAACTCTTGAGAACACTCTTTTTCCCAAAGAGAAGATTACAAATTTGCAAACTTACAAGAAAACCTCACAATGTAAGATGTTTGTACAATTCTAGAACAAGAAAAGAACACTCAAAGATAATTACAAATGAGCACAAATGGTGTTCTTGAAAGCAAAATGAATATTGAAAGGAAAATTGGCTTGATTTGCACAAACTTGGTGTTTGATGCTTTCTCTCTTGTTTCTCTATGATTTCTTATTGATCAAGGGCTTCAGAACTTGTTTAAATACACCTTGAATCACTTCTGAACGTTGGGGATAATTAATGAATATAATATAGCCGTTTTAGTGTGAAAACAATTAATAAAACAGCTTGGAGCGTGGGGGGAATCGGTTCCCCCTCATAGGGAATCGGTTCCCTAAGTGTAAAATTCAAATATTTCGACCGTTGAACAGGGGGGGAATCGGTACCCCCTATGGGGGAATCGGTTCCCTCCGAGCATTCTGGAAATCTCAGAGCCAAACCGTTCAGGGGGGAATCGGTACCCCCTTGGGGGGGAATCGGTTCCCTCTGAGCAATCTGGAATTTTTGACTTTGAAATGGTTCGAAATACTTTGAAAGATTATTTTGAAATTGTTTTAAGATTAAAACTTAATTTTACACTTAAGTAAAGATTAAAAATGATTTTTGAAATATTTTGAGTAATGTTTTGATATTCGAATAATTATATCGAATATACTTAGAAAATCATTTTGGAAAATCTTAAAATTCATTTAACTTAATTTGTTATATCGAAATATCAAAATGTTTTCAACAATCTCCCCCTTTTTGATATAACAAAACATTTTAGTAATTTTAAGATTTTGAAATCAAGTTTTGAAATTACTCCCCCTTACTTTAACACTTCTCCCATTTATCATTTTAAAAACGCACTTAAAACTTAAAACACACTTCTCCCCCTTTTTGTTAAATCAAAAAGATTCAAATAAACGTGAAGAATATTAAGCAAATTGATTAGGTATATGTATGCATAAGCTGCTAAGATCACAATTAAGAGAAACATTAGCCATTAGTTCCGTAATCAATATTCATAAATAATGTGATATGGCAAAATTGGTCATATTGCTAATAATGATGTAAATGATGCAATAACGAATAAAACACACCAAACATATAAGTTCACACCATCAATAAATCCAAAATCCAACAATCCACAAAATCAAACAATTCAAAATGTTGAAACAATATTCATTTTGTTCAAAGTTTTTAAGCTAGACACAAAATCAAGCATCCGGATCTGTAGGAGGAAAACGGGCTCGCATAGCAGCCATTTCGTGAGTGAGTTCATTAATACGAGCGTTGGTTGCTTCATTATTTGCACGCATTTCCCGAAGAATTTCTAATTGTTGAGCTCCCATTGTGGATAAATGGGACTCTATAGAAATAAAGCGCGAATCCATGGTCGCATATCGGTAATCAAATGTCTCCATAAAAGATTGAAAATATGGAGGCATTTGAGTCGATTGTTGTGCTTGCTCTTCGGGCTGCTCCTCGGCCTACTCAGGTTCAGCTTCAGCTTCATCGATGTCTCGCATTAGTTGCTCAAGCTCGAGATCTTCGTCAGCTTCGGGTGGAGCTCGTGAAGAACTAGCTCCCGGAGTAGTTGCAGAAGATCGAACCCATTCCCCGGTTTCCTTATCCTTAATCCATCCCGCTCTCGATAAGGAAAGAAGGTTAATTTGTTTCTTAAGAGGAAAAGCGGCATCTAGACCAACTCGAAGCTCGGCTTTAGAAAAGAGATTACTAAGGATACAACCGTAAACTAGTGAAGAACAGAGTTTCTTATTTGGCACTAGGTTAACGGTTTCAACGATCTCAGCAAAGATAATCTCAGAAAGGTTTATTTTTATGTTGTGTTCAAAACAATGCAACCACCAAAGGTCTAAAGCTCTAAGAGTAGAATAACGACCCCCGGATGGTCGAAACCACCAAGTGATCATGAGATGAAGAAAACGCTCATGAAGATCTAGAACACTTGCACTATCATTCCGTTTATATCGTGAGCCTAAAACTTGTTTTTCGTTTGATAAACCTTCATTATCCAAGCCTAAGGCATTGGCTATGTAATCCGGATCAAGATGGAAATATTGACCTAGGAGGTAGGAACGTACTCCTATGGTTTTGGTTTTGTCACGATTTTTGATACAAACGGCATTACAGTAGAAGATACGAACAAGTTGATGATAGACAATGGGTTCAAGTTCGAAAAGTTTATCAAATTTTCATTCGTGCAAGATAGGGAGATATTTAAAGTTAATATCAACCATAGTTTGAAGAGATGGGATACGTTCTTCCCTAATCTTATACGAGTCAAAATATTGGTAAAACCAATAACGATAATCTTTAGGACCCGGTTGATTGAAACAAGAATTTTGGATAGTCAAGTTAGGATCAAGATTTGGAATAGGATTTTGAGGAATAGGAGGAGGATTTGGT